CCCCAAAACCCCAAAACCCCAAAACCCCAAAACCCCAATAAGTATTTGAAGAGTTGAAATAAAATTTCAGATTTTTACTCTATTAAGACTAGCAAAATTATATTTTTATGCGATTTCCGACTGTGGAACTATGGATTGTCTACAGAGAGGGCAAGTATCGTTCCTCCTAGCCCAAGAGTGAAATCAAGGCTCATGAAAAATATGCATAGAGTTTCACTTCAGTTGAATAATTGTTTCTTTATCTTTGAAATTTTCATAGCAAATAGAGCATCCTAGTCCTTCCTTTTTCTTAGATTTCTTCATTGAAAAAGTCTTCTTCATCGACCTAATAACTTGCCTGATAATATTACTGGACTCAGAGGCCGATGAAATTGAGTCACTAGAGGGTGAGCTATCTTTACTTTCCTCATCTCGACCAATATCAGAATTATTATCTGAATCAGCAGCATACCTATTCTGAATTGCTCTTTGTCTTAATTCTTCAGCTCTTTGTTTGATCTCTTTGCGATAAATAACATAGACAATAGAATAAAATCAAAATAGAACAAAGAGGATAAACAAAACGATACTCCAGAACGTCAAAGAGATTATTATTTTATTAATCCAGTATATTATCAACAGAAAAGATAATAAAAAGGGAATGACGTATGAATGGGTGACAGCTCTGGAATCAGCCTCGAGGTTTCTTGCCTGAGGTGGAGCATTTCTTGCTGTTTGTGTATTAATATCAGAAGTTTCAAAATCTCCAAATATAAGCAGCAGTATCAAGAGAATAAAAAAATATAGAATAAAGAAAGAGCTGATGAGAAATATCCCAAACCCTTTTATTTTTAGTACTAAAGGATCTAGTGAACCTAAAAAGAAGATCTTGTGAATTGTTGGAGACTTTACTCTGACCTTATGCTGAATAATCATCATTGTTTTATACCTCTTCCATTGGTAGTTGTACAAAGGAATACAGCTCAGTGCCACGAAAAATGACGGAATGCTCACGTAAAGAATCGATCTCTCCATAACAATATAGGCAATAACTGTGTACAATGATGTCATGAATATACTGAAAAGTATCATAATTCCCATAATTCCAAGCACAGAATCCCAGCTGTAATCAACTCACTTCATAACTTTAGATAACTTTGATGTGATGTAGTCGATAAAATCAAGCATATTGGGAATAATATTATTATTTATAGACACAGCAAGTCAATTTCAATTTCTCCAAATTTCCCAGGGGTTTTGGGGTTTTGGGGTTTTGGGGTTTTGGGG